TCATCAGAGACAGGGTATAAGAAAATAGTATATGGGGAAAAATAGAGAGTGTGAGTGATATTGTAGTGAGGTAGAAATATCAAAAGAGAATTATTTCTTATGAGTGTTGTAGTGGTCTTTATAGTATTTTACTCGAGCCTACAAAATGTAAAATTCCTTATATAGTGATATCAGTTGCTCCTCTCGGGGTCGTGAATTTTTTTCTTATTCAGAAAGGTTTTTCACGTAAAAATCTTAGTGTCGCTGTTGCTCTTTTATTATTGTTGATTATTGTATCTCGGTGCTACGTTTTTATTCCGCTTTTATTACCGTGAATATTATTTTGTGGGGGGTTTATTCCCAACAGATATACAGGTTTAGGGGATGAGAGTCGAACAAAAATTAAACCTTAAACCTAATACTAATCACAAAAGCAAAAATCAAAAAAGGGTAAAAGGAGACGGGGTTTACCAAATGCTCAAGTATTGGATAACCAATCGCCTTGCCGGAATAACAAACGGGTGGCCACCAAACTTGGGATAATGTGTCGCCTCCAATCGATGTGCTAAGAATTAGGCAACGTTTTGAAGAGCGCACAATGTCTCAAGCTTAATGCATCATAAAAGAAGGCAATTTTAGACAGTGGTAGTGGTTCGGCAGTGAGGTGGTCGGAGTCAAACGGTAGTGGTCGGAGGTCGGGATTTAGGGGTAAAATTAGAGAGGAAATGTAGATCTCTTTGATATCTAAATGTTTATGTATTTGTGGTGTCTATAGGCCTGGAACTTGACAATTTTGAAAGATGTGGCGGAGAGGATTTCGGTCAAAGCTACATTAAGGGAGATTGGTGAAGATTTTGGGAATTTGGGATTTGGATACGAGTAAAGGGTGAAGATAGGAGAAAAATGGTGTAAAATTTATGGTGTTTGGAGCATCACTGGAGGCGGCGCACGGTGGAGGTCACGGCGGCAGCATAGAGATAAATGGTTAAACAATTGCATGGATTGGACCAGGTCCTCATGCGATTTGGGCCACTGAATTTCGATATTTTAGCCCATTCCGCTGAAATAAAATTTTAGCCCATTTTTTCTTAATCCTATCTTATTAAACTATAATTACACAAACAAATAATTAATTAAATAATTATACAAATGATCAGTCCGCTAGATTACTTCACCAATTAAACAATTAGTTAATTACTAAAATGCAGAAATGAAACAGAAATATTTTTTATATTTTTATGATAAGAAATATGTAATTAAAGATACAAAAAATAAGAAAAATGATTAAAGTAACAAGACATTAATAATTTTAGGAGATGTTAAAATAGTGCAAAAATTAAATATTCACACTTGCTAGATATTGAATTCCTTATTCGACCAGTGTTGGCAAGTTCCATTACCAAACTAACAATTCAAACAATAATGATTAAAATCTATAGTAAATAGTGAAGTTGTAAATGAGGCAAATAGCAAATGAATTTAAGGTTTGTGGAATTTTCAGAAACCACTATTGTTTAGTGGCTATTAATTTCCTATAGCTACCGTATATAAAATTATTTCCTATAGTTACTATTCAGTTTTTATGCGACTGTATTCGCTGTATTCGCGCTACTATATTCATGAATACAGTAGCGGAATTCTCCTAAAAAATAGGGGAGTCCAGATGTGCAACTATATTCGTTGTATTCGCATTACTATATTCAAAAATACAATAGCGAAAATCGCCTAAAATAGGGGGTCCAACTGTTTAATAATGAAAAGAGGATCAATTAGCGTATATCACTCATAATTTAACTCAACAAAATTAATTCTACATAAGTTTCACTGTTATTGTGATGTATTTCATGTATTCGCACGACTATATTTATAAATATAGTAAGGTAATCCGCCTAAAAATGCTACACCCCATGTTTTCGTATAAGGAAGTATGCCATAAGTAAAAATGAGATGGTACATTCCGCATTTTCGTACGTTAAAGTTTCGTCGTAAGCTAATCGATTCAGGAATGAGATTATAAGCATTATGCTATTTCAAACAAGTGATGAGTAAATTCGTGAATGTGAGAGGGTAAGAAAATTAAAGAAAATGAATTTTCGTCAAAGTTTGACATGTTGGGATAATACGGCCCGAGCTAAAATACCCGGTATTTATGGACTAGTGTCATACAAGGTACCACATGACCATGATAGTAAGGTGTATAAGGTGTGTTAAAAGTGAGTAGTATTTTAAGTAATTTGAGATAATTCTTAATTATGTGGATAATTGGATAATTATTGATCTGTGGGAGATTAACAAGATAATCAAGAGATTAGTGAATAATTTATGAATTATTTTGGATAAGATTAAATCTCCCAAACGTGGCAACAAACTTTGCCAAATTGATAACTCTTAAAGTCACTTGATAAGTTGTCATTTTAAAGGCTTAGTCATCACCTTAATGGGGCCCGCACCCACTAAGGTATAAGACCTCTCTAACTTAAAAGAGATATGCTTATTCATGAGTAACGTGAAGATTTTTTCATAGCATCTTCACAATTCAACGAGGTCTCATAAGCATCTTCAAGAATTCAAACGAGAATTCTTAGTATTTTAGCAATATGATATGTTGCAATTTTAAGGGAATACGGTGTAATCTTTCTCAAGAATATTATACGAATTCTTCCCTACTTTGATCCGACGTTATGTGATTTGTCGCAATTGACGTGTGTTAGAACGATTGTCAAGAGAATCAGCTCAGGTATGTTAAGGCTATCCCTTCGTTCCTTTTGGCATGATCCATACGATACAAACAAAACGAGCAAATGCACAACTTTCATAAATGACTCTATTCATAGAAATGCTAGAGATGCTTTGTTCTTGATTCCTCATATGTCCTATTGTTCTATCATTTGTTCATGGGTCTCAGAAAATACGTAAGTTGATAAAGTTTGCTTCGTGATATTAATCAAAGTCATAATGGTCTTATGATATTCCGAAAGATTTTATTTACATACTTCTCATGCATTGCATTTATTTATAAATGTACATTGACCCATGACCAGATGGAGTTATATACGCTTATATATATATATGGGATATGAGAAAAGGTTACGGCGTTATATACGCACCACCACCTGATCAACTGATATATGTTGATGATGTTGCCCACAGTGGCTGAGATGATATGATGGGATGCCCTCAGAGGCTTGATGATGTTATGAACGCATATACCCATGCATGGTATGGTATTTATACGCATATGTATGATATTATAAGTATTAAATAATTCACAGAACTATTCAGACTTACATGTCGAGTCTTTTGCTCCAAGTTTCTCTCATGTCTATTATTACTGATTTTCATTACTTACATACTCGGTACGTTATTTGTACTGACATACCTTTTGCTTGGGGACGCTGTGTTTCATGTCAGCAGGTCCCGATAGACAGGTTGAGAGTCCTCCAAGTAGGCTATCAGCTCATCGGAAGGTGTTGGTGCACTCCATTTGCTCCGGAGTTACTTATTTGGTCAATACGATTTGGTCATGTATTGATTGGTATGGCGGGGTCCTGTCCTGACCTTTATGGTATTTATCTACTATTAGAGGCTTGCAGACATATGTCATGTACGTAATAGATTGTATGGCCTTGTCGGCCTATGTTTAGTATACGAGTGATCATTTTGGTCTTATAGGCCCCTATGTCTTATGTATAAGTTGGTATTACATGTTTTATTCTTGTTATCCTATGGCAGTCTTTCTGTCTCATTTACCTATGATAGCATGATATGAAAAAATACATTATGTTGGTACTCGGTTGAGTAAGGCACCGGGTGCTCATCGCGGCCTATCAGTTTGGGTCGTGATAAAAAAACAGGGATGACAACTATTTAATTATGTATTCCATGTATTCGCTCGAATTTATTCATAAATACAGTAAGGTAATCCGCCTAAAAATAATGATTACATGTGTTTAATAACGAAAAGTGCGATATTGAATTGTATTCAATTTCGCTATATTGAATTCAGTTGTATTCAAACAATAAAAAAAATCAAGAAATAGGGTGTATACTGTTCTATTAAATTCGACTGTATACATTGTATTCAATTCACATATATTAATTATTCACTTAAACATTGTATTCAATTCACCAAATTTAATTCGACTGTATTCAAACAACAAAAAATCACAAAACACAGTGATATTGGGTTGTATTCAAAAATACAGACCTTCGAAATACATAAATACATACGAAAAAATAATATATTTGAGTGTATTTGTACAGAATACAATGTATTTGTATCATTGTATGTGATTAAATAGCAAAGAAGAGAAGAATTTGCTGGAGATGGCATTTTCCGGTCAAGCAAAATACTGTATATACATTGTATTAAAACTAAAAATGGAGACGAACAAAAATCCGGGCCTCAAATCTTCTTCGGTGTAGCCATGGTCAGATCTGTTCGCCTAAGAGGATGAGGTAATAGTGGATGATGATGCCAACGATTCTGACACCCACGACGATTATGACGATGACCACGATGATGACGCTGACAATTCTGCTGATTTGAGGGAGAAGAGAGAGGATTGAGAATCATGATGATAGAAAGAGAAAGAAGAGAGAGAGAAAGAACATAAGACATATCTCATACCTCAATAATAGGCATAAATAAATACTTATTTTGCTATAAAATAGAAAAGATAGCTATAAGTAATAATATTTTAAAATTATTTTAGTTTATAATAAATGATATGTAATAGTTTTTCCTTAGAAATACTCATCAGTCGGCAATGGAGGTGGCCTGGCCCCATCTTGAGTGGATAGCCCATTATCTATCACAAAGTCTTAGTGGGGTATCCAAATTGGGAAGAAAATATATTTAGAGCTAACTTATGTTAATATATGTAGTGCTAAGGCTAATTATAAAGAATGATGACTTGGAAATCCGAATTATTCATTCAATTGAAAGTAAAATAATACTAATATATCCTTCCACTATAAAGTTGTCCTATATAAGCAACTGCCTCCAACGGGAGACTTCAATAATCCATTCAACACCAACAAACGAAAGAAACAATTCAAGGAAAAAATACATTCAAAGACCAAGAAGAGTACTACTTCTAATAGCAACTATTTCCACTCTATATTAATTCAAGAATTCATGGAGAACTTCCACTACTCAAGAAGATTACTTTTATTACCAGCTACAATACCACAATACCACCGGGAGGCCAACATGGCGCCGCCTCCTGCAGCCGAAATCAGCCACGACGCGACAGATCTACTAATTGGGAACAACAACACATTTGATGCAAATGCTATTATGGTCTTGGCCGTACTTGTATTTGCCTTTATCTGTTCACTTGTCTTGAATTCTATCATAAAGTGTGCATTAAGGTGCTCCAGCCTAGCATCAGCGCTAGACTCATCCTCAAACCATAGAAACCCTTCAGCCACAAAGCTAGCTAATACAGGAATCAAGAAAAAAGCCCTCAACACATTCCCGATTGTAACATATACCACTGAATTGAAACATGCAGGGCTTGACTCTGAGTGTGTCATTTGCTTATCCGAATTTGGAATTGGAGAAAAAGTTAAGGTTCTGCCTAAGTGCAATCATGGGTTCCACGTCAAGTGTATTGATAAATGGCTGAATTCCCACTCTTCTTGTCCTACTTGTAGGCACTGCCTTATTGAGACTTGCCAAAAAATTATTAACGGCGGGAGTTCTACTATAGTAACTAATAGTAGTACTTCATCAGCAGCAGTTCAAGAAATCGTAATAAGGATTGAGCCTCTCCAACGTGAAGGTGTTACATCTAACAATCAAATTTAGGTAGAAAAAATAGGAGTGGTATCTCGGCTATGTATAGTTAATTGATTGGTATGTAGCACACACACTCAATTAGATCAGAAGCTTAGCTTTTAAGTTGATACTTAGTTTAATTATTTATTTTGTCTTGTTAGAAATGTTTTAGCGAGCTAGCATGAGGCCGAATCGCCAGTGTAATTTTCAAATGATTCATTGGACTTGCAAGTGTATATAAAAATTAAACTTTACTTATTTCCGTTTCTTTATGATTAGATTTTCTTTCTTCCTGTAGAAAAAGAAAAAGAAAAAGAAAAAGAAAAGAATTACTGAGTTTTCTTTAACAGGGGAAGGGACAGATTTACTTGTGTGCGGTACGAAATTGAGCAAGTTTACCATTTGTTAAAGTTTTGGTCTAATATTGCCCTCGCAATTAGGAGAACATCTCATTTTTGCGGGAGAAATTCAAAAATAGCTAAATTTATAAGGGGTCATTCAAAAATAGCTACAATTTTAAAAGTAATCGAAAATTAACCACTTTTCATGTAAAGATAAATTTGAACGAAAACACTGTTCAAAATCCGAAAAATACTCCAGCATAATATACTGGAGTTCCAGCATAAGTATACTGGAGTTCCAGCATAAGTATACTGGAACTCCAACATATTATAATGGAGTTCCAACATACTTATACTGGAACTCCAGCATAATATACTGAAGTTCCGGTATAATATACCGGTCCAGTATAATATGCTGGAAGTTCATACACAGGTGTCCCAATCTTCAGTATATTATGTTGGAACTTTCCGCGTGTTGGAGTTCCAGCATAATATACTGTAAGTTCATACACAGGTGCACCGATCTCCAGTATATCATGCTGGATCAGTCTTTGTTGCAGCAAAGTAATGACTATTTTTAAATGACTTTACAAACCCTGACTATTTTTGGATGACCGTTTTAAAAACTGGCTATCCCGTTTTTGCTCTTGACCTCTAACGACGTAACCTGAGGATAATTCTAAACCAAAAGTAAAAAATTACAAGGATAATTTGTACAAATTTTTCTCAAGAATTGGAACACGTGGAGTCCACTTATTTGCACCGAACTCTGTTAATGACAATAACATATATGAAATGATTCGCTAACGTCAAAGATATAAATTGATCAAAAGTTTAATGGAGGCAAAATTAAACAATTTTGAGTACAAAAGTAAATTTTAATCTTTCCTTTTTGTTATTCGAAAAGGGAATCAAGAGATTAAAAAGATTAATTTATATAACTTTTAAAATAATCATATTATCTTTTTAAAAGTACTAATACTTAACAAAGATTTGATTATGTGCCGAGAAGATTATCTTCTTTTTATTACAAACCACAAGAATATTTAAGGCTTAAACTTTACTGATTTGATATGTTATAATCATACTACTTGCCAGGTGCAACATACTACGGGACCCGCTAGTCAATCTAACCTCGAAATGGAACAAAAAGAAAAGATTTAGAATAATTCCCTAAATCCAGATGGATTAGTAAAAAATAAACTATTGATTGAATATTTATTTGTTTATGTAGTGCGATTAAAACCTTACAATTCCTGTTTTTGTTTTTCTTTATGGAAGGTATTGCCACCTAGTTTAAATTCTATCCATCTGTACGAGATGGATAGTGAACTGTACAAACATAAAAAAAATAAAAGGAAAAATCTTTAGTTCGAGATGCGTGTATCATCTTTTCTTTAAGGGTATTTAAGTTTAGTGAAATGGAATTTCTAACAAAAGCACTAGCTCTCAACTTGTCAATTACAGAGTACAGTAACCCAACTATGTCGCACGACTCAAACGACATGCATTTGATTTGATGGAATATTACGGAATTTAAAAATAGGACTAGTTGCATATAATATAGATAATATTTTTATAAATTTTATCCAAATATAAAATTGACACTTAGCATTTAAAGTGTGAACTTGATCTTTCTCCGCGTCTTCTCTTGCAAGACCCAAAATATCGCCGGACGTTAGCAGTTTAGGTGGTTTGATTAAGGATTTTGTCTTCATTTTTTTTTTTAAAAAAAATTAAAAATATTATTATGAAATATGATCTTTTTTTGGGAAAAAAAAATTAAAAAATTTTTAGTTCCCAAAAACTGGTTTAGGCGATTTTTGAGTGAATTTTTTTTCTACTCACAAAACTTTAACTTTTCTTCAAATAAAATACATGTACAAACACAACTTCAACTTTCAAAAATTATTTTTCAACACAACTTAAAAACTCTTTTTTTAAGTTTCAGTCAAATCTATATCCAAACACTATTAATTATTTTGTGGGCAAGTATTCTCACGAAAACGTAGTCCATTTCTCTGAGCCAAAAAAGAAAAAGCAGCTGCCTCTTTCCCTGGTTTTTAAGCCCACGTTTATTTTGGATAAACATTTATCGAACATGTAGCTTTTTTTTTTTCTACCAAGAAAAGGTTTTTTTGAAGTCCTAATTTGACTCAGAACCACAAAATTAATTAATGAGACTTTCTATTATGAAAATAATTTCTTCTTGTCCATGCATTTAGATATTGTATTTATTCTAACAATATACATAGACGAGTGTGTGTATGTATATAGTAATGTTTTGAATTTTGTATTAAATAGGCACTTAAATTGCTGCACATTTAAATATCACAGAAAGTAGAGGTATCATAGAAAACTTTTTGTTTCCTGATTTAATTCATGAATCTGCCTCTGCACAAGGAGAAAAGCACACACATATGTTAGGGAAAGGCTGTTATTGTTGTGTGTCAATTTGTTGAATCTACACTCTTTGAATCAAGCTTCATAACATGCAAAATGAATTTAGGGTTGCGTATGACAAAATCTAGGAAGAGAAATAGGGAGAAGAGATGGAGAGTAGAGAGAACATTTTCTTAGCTTCAGTAAAAGGAAATGATACAACTGAATTGAGAAAGGGCACTGTTCTATATAACAGAATCACGTGCCCTTCACACCCCTCTAATAATGTGACCCTTAAAGTTCTTTTGTCTACACTTAGGTCCTCCAATTAGTTTCATAACTAACCAATTCAGTCTATGCTCTTGATACGCCCCCTCAAACTGGAGAATGGAAAGCATCGAACATTCCCAGTTTGGATAATAACATCTGATGCTGAGCAACTCCAAGGCCCTTGGTCATCATGTCTGCTACCTATTCTCTTGTAGATATATAGTGAGTGGACATTAGTCCACTTTTGGTCTTTTCTCTCACAAAGTGGCAATCAATCAATCTTTATATGTTTTGTCCGCTCATGATAGATTGGATTTGCAGCTATTTATAAAACTGCTTTGCCATCACAAAAAACCTTCACTGGCATCTGTAAAGATACACCAAATTCTTTCAGCAATCCTACTAGCCATACCAATTCTGCACTAACAGCTGCCATGCTTCTATACTCTGCTTCTGCATAACTTCTACTTACTGTCTGTTGCTTCTTAGACTTCTAGGAAATCAGTGATTCAACAAGCTTAATGACATAGCATGTCACTGATCTTTTGGTGTTTGGGCAGACTGCCCATTCAGAATTACAATAGGCTGAAATCTCTTCTAATGATCCCTTCTTCAATAGTATTACTTTTCTTGGTTCCTTTTTTTATATATTTCACCACTCTCATAGATGCCTCTAAGTGTGATTGCTTTGAATGTTGTATAAATTGACTTAGGACCTGCACTGCAAAGCAGATATCAGGTTTAGTTATAGTCGAATGGATCAACTTTCCAATCAATTTCTGATAGCCTCCAATATCGGTTAGCACCCCATCTCCTTTGAGCCTTACATATTGATCATAGTCAATAGTAATAAGCTTTTGATTTCGCTCAAGGGGTGAACTTGCAGGTTTAGCACCACTGAGTCCTAATTCTGATATAAGCTCTAATGCACACTTTCTTTGATTCAGTAGTATGCCTTTGTGTGACCTCATGATTTCAATTCCCAAAAATATCTTAACTTTCCTAAGTTTTTCAGCTTGAAGGACTTATGTAAGGTCCTTTTAACTTCATCTATCATATCATTGCTGCTCCCAATAATCATCAAGTCATCCACATATACTAGGATGATTACTAAGTTTGTTCCTAACTTCTTTGTGAACAAGGAATGATCATAGGTACTTTGTAGGTATCATGCTTAGTAAGAGCAGTAGTTAGTTTTTTATTCCACTACCTTAATGCCTGCTTGAGTCCATAAAGAGACTTAAGTAACCTGCAAACCTGAGACTCCCCTTGCCTATGGAATCCTTGTGGCAAAGTCATATACACCTCCTCATAAAGATTACCCTGCAGAAATGCATTGTTTACATCCATTTGGAATAACTTCCAACCCTTAGAGGCTGCAAGGATAATAACAGTCCTCACTGTGACCATTTTTGTAACAGGTAAAAAAGTCTCATGGTAGTCAAAACCTTCCTGTTGTGTATAACCCTTAACCACCAAGCGTGCCTTGAACCTGTCAACCTCACCATTTGCCTTGTATTTAATTTTGTATACCTACTTTGAGCCAATTACCTTCTTTCCTAGTGGTAACTCTACTATCTCTCAGGTCTTATTGGCTTCAAGTGCCCGAATTTCTTCTTGCATAGCTTTAATCCATCTCTCATCTGTAGAGGCTTCATAGAAAGTCTTTGGTTCTGTAAGGGCAGAAAATTTGGTGAGGTATGCTTGGTAATGTTGTGGCAAATGTATGTAGTTGACATAATGAGATATTGGATATGCATTGTGTCCTGATGGTTTCCAGCTAGTAACATAGCCTTTGAGCCAAATTACTGGTTTTGTGCCTTTGGTAGATTTCCTAATAGTGGGAGCTTCTGCATTATCAATAGATTCAAATGACTGCAACTGTTGAGGTGTTGCTTGTTGCTCTTGCAAATCTGCTTCAGTTTCTTCCATAATTGCTAGAGATTCAACTACAACATCTTTTAATACATTTAGCATATCTACATTTGCTCTTGCTGACTCATCTGGGTCTGTATCTGATGAGTCTATTGTTATGTGGCTTGGTTGAGGGAGAATGGCAGGGATTGTCTATGTATCCATACTTCCATTGCTTAAGTCTTCCAAAGTTGCAACAGGAACATCAACAACATTTGTTCTTGGTGCAGTAGTGTCCATGTCTTCTAGAACAATAGTGAACATATCCTCCTGATAGGCTTCTTCACCTTGAAAAGGAAAGACATCTTCACTAAAGTTTACATCCCCGCCGACAAAGAAAATGTTAGACTC